GTTGATGCTGGTGGGCCACCCCGCCAGAAAAGACGGCGCGAGAAAGAGAAAAAAGGGGGTAGGTGGGCAAACCAATAAAAGCACAAAATGGAGGAAGATATTTACCAGCAGTATCTGCCCCAGTTGCATCATCCCCCGTGAGAGAAGAGGAGGAGGTGGGAAAAGCGAGGCCCAGCAGCAACAACACAAAGTAGCTGCGGGACGTTTGAAAAGACCTTCAACAACACAAAAGCAAAGAAATGGTCACTTTTTCTTCGCCGCGCCTTTTCCCTTCTCCGCCGCCCCAGTACCGCCGGCAGGCCCTCTTTTCCCCGAGCCTCGTTCCTTCTGGAACAAATCCACCGCCTTCATATTGACCTGCCGCATTCGAAAAGCGACCTTCGCCATACGCCGCTTAACTTGATTCTCAAGAATTTGCTTTTGCCACGGGGAGTCAAAAGTGTCCTGAGTCTCCTTGTTGAAAAGCTCCTCCGTGTACCAGTGTTGAGCCGCCAACTTGTTTTCGTAGATGCCAGGATACGTCCATTCGGGGCCAATGACGGGGTCCTGCTGGTCCTTGAAGATTGAAATGGGCAGCGACATGCCCTCCTTCCCGTACGTGTAGACATTCAGTGGGACCTCCTTCACTGGAAGCAGCTTGCGGTGCTCCATGCGACCGTAGTAAGCCTGCTGGAGTTTCTTTCGCTCCCGCTCCAGCTCTAGCGGGGTGGGGGCCACGTCGTAGGGGAGGTACACCTGCTTGTAGTCGGGGGTGTCTGAGGGCTTTCCCCCCCGCTTCCGTGCGAGAAGCGTCGCGGAGAGGCGCCCAATGGCTGTTGTGCGAAGCATTACCCGCCACGCCCTGCAAGGATGCGTGCGGCGGCAATGTGCAAAGAAGAATAATGTCGTGAAGGGCAAAAAACAAAGAAAAAAAGAGGAAGAAAAGCAAACAAGCGAATGCCGTGTCGTGTTCAGTAGCCCTTGCAGAGAGAGCGTAAAAATAGAGTCGTCCCCGTGTGTGCGTCCTCACCGCCACGTGGCCGCACACACGAACAGCAGCGCCAGCAACAACGACAAGAGAAATATTGCAAGGAAGGGCAAAACAACAAAAAAAAAGAAGGTAACACACTTCAGACGTAATGGACACCGCTGCTATCCCTCCCCTATTTCTATTCCCCTCCATTTCCCCCCAAGACAGGTTACTAGATTCTAAATACTACCGTCTGCCAGGTCACCTCTGCTTCTTCCTCTCCCATTCACACTTCCATTCACTACGCTCTTCCATCCTAGGGTTTTTTTTCCCCCCTTCCTTCTTAAATTTTGCCGTTCACGATGCCGATCGACGAACTACTCCAACCCTCCCAGGGAGAAACGCATTCTCTTAACTACCACGTCTTCTTCCAGTAACGGAATGTGGTGCGGCCGTAAATGCGCCAGTTCGTGTTCTTCTGTCCATAGTGCAGCAGGATGCAGTTCACGAGGCCGAGAGTTGTGAACGCCTTCCAGAACATAACGCGCCGGTCGTCGTACTCGGACTCGGCAGACCAGCGGAGGAAATTTACAACGTCCTTTGCCATTTGGCTCGTCGTCGCCGGAGTGCCATCCTCGTAGTCCACCATTCCGTCCGAGAGCGGCGGCGGCATGGAGAGGCAACAGTCCTTGAAGTACGGGTTCCAAAACTGCCCAGGCTTCAGTTCAGGGGCAAATGGAGGAATCGGCAAAAGCTCACCGTTGCCCCAGTTGTAGCCTGTGATGAGGGAAAAGATGTAGTCTGCCCCACCTTCCTTGCCAAAGACCGAGTGCTGCAAATCCGGCGGCTCGGAGCCGTTGTTCGCAAATTGGGCGGCACGCTGGTTTGGAAACGGCACGGGAAGCGTGTCTGTCGGTTTGCCTGGGCGCGGGTTCAGCAAACCCTCGGCATCCGGCTCGGAGTCAATCACCTCATACTGCGAGGCCAGCTGCTTAATCTCCTCTCGGGTCATGAAGCCCTGGAAGTGGGCGAAGGTCATACGGCCCAAAGGGTGGCATGGTGCAAAGACCTCCGTAAAAATTTGGCGCCCGCGACGGACAGAGGGCCAGTCGAGACTATGCCAAATCTCAAAGCGGTCGTTGTGATTCCAGTACCAATCCCGTTTGATGGGATGAGCTCGTTTCCCTGCCATGATTATCTGACGCTACCAGAGAAATAGCAATAAAGAAATAGAGACGCACACACACACACACACACGTATATATTTCTCAATTGAGGGACACGGTTGTTGTTGTTGTTTTTTATTGGTGCCGTGGGCGAAGAAGGAGGAAGGAGCCAGAAGTGTGAATGTGAAAGAAACGCTGAAGCTCGACAGCGGACGCGGTGGGCAAGAGCGAGTGGGTGAAAGAAAAAGGAAGCCAATATCATGAGAATAACGAGGTTAAAGTCTCTCCAGACGCACTCGCCGCCTTCGCGGCAAACTCCTTCCGCACACTGCTAAGCAATTCCTGCTCCAGAACATCTGTAATGGCTGTGCGGAGAACGGAACTCTTGGCAGTGACTTTTGCGGTCAATGCCTCCACGCCAGTGGCGAGCACGTTCACCAGCACGGGGTCGTAGCGGAGAATACCATGCGCCTGGGTCGCATGGGCCGCCATGGCCTTCCACTGCGTGCTACCAACGGCGTGGATGACACGGAACCCCATCCCGGTTAATGTCTCCTCAATTGACTCCTTTTGTGCGAGACATCCTGCGGCGAGGTGTCGGGTGGTGGGGGAGAGAGAATTCAGCTCTTTGCGTAGCGCCTCGTACGCCGCTTCATCCTTCTCATCGTAGGGAGACAAAAACCGTGTGGTTACAATGGGCAGGGCGAGTACCTTCATCTGCGTGGTGTGGCCTTCCGCTCGCTTGTACGAGAGACGTATGGTAGGGGCCTCTCTATACGGCGCCCACGACCTGGCGGCAAACTCCACGCGCATAACCCCACCAGGGGCGACATCGCCCCGGTCGTGCCTCAATTGCAACAGCAGCCCAGCATCCACGCCGGTGATCTCTACAAGTACATCCTCCAACCCCGCCACCGTCAGCTTGTTCCAGACGGTAAGGGTCAAACGGGCATCGGCTCCACGGTACTGCTGCTCGCAGCGCAGTTCCACAGAGTCATCGGAGTAGAGGACACCCGATGGTGCCCTAAGCAGAAAAATGAGGCGTTGCCGCACCAGTTCATTTTCTTTTGCCAGGCTGTCCAACTGCGTCGTTGAGTTGACAGTAAACAAGGCCGCCAAGTCCTCGTCTGATTTGCCGTCTGACCTTAAGGATGCATCATGATTAACTGCCAAGAAATCAGGGCCGGGTATTTTCTTAGGTGCCTCATTTGCCGTCGGGGCAACTGCCGTTTCTCGTTCCTCCGGAGAGGCGCCCACAGCCGCTTCCACGTGCGCCTCCTCTCGTTGGGGGCGTCCACGCGGCACGAGAGAGAACTCGTCCTCCTCGAAACGTGGCAAAGGCTCAAGCACCTTCTGCAGCAGCCCATCATTGCCCAGCTCGACGAGCCCGACGTACTCCATGGCGCGCTGCTGCAGCTCCACATTGAAGCTGCTTGTGTACTGATGCAGTATGCCCAGTACCTTTTCACGTATAGCAATATCGTAGTAGTTGTAAAGCTTGACGAAGGTGCTTAGCATGAGGGCTTGCGTCTCCTCCGAGGTGTCGTTGAGGTAATTTTGAAGCACCTTTACCTGCATGAGGGGCGTACTTTCCGCACTCAGGGCGATTTGGTACCCAAACTCGCCCAGGACAATGGCGGCAACACGCAGCAGGAATTCAGGAACAGTCCTGCGGGTCTTCAGCAGGCGGAACAAAGTTGTGGCCGCCCTCTTCTGAACATCCGGGTGGTTGATGATAACGTGCACCACGCGGTAAATTATGTGTTGCGGCGTGAGGCTGCCAGCCTGGGCGAGCACGGAGAGAATGGTGTCCACGTACCACCCGTAGTCGACGCAGTACACCTCGGCCAGGTGGGAAATGGCAAGCACGAGATTCTCCTTGAAGACGCCATCCGCGATGGGGAGGTACGAAAGCAGCTCGTCAATGGCCTCCGTGGCGGTTGCGTCGTCGCACATGCTCACGGCGACGTCCAGCGCCTTCGTGCGGATGGAGACATCAGGGTCGTGCAGGGCCACCACCAGCTGCGGTTGGTACTGGCCACAGTAATTCCTGTATTCATTGCGCGACTCACGCGCGGAACACAACTTTGACAGCAAACTAAATCCCAAATAACGCAAGTTAGACTCCTTCTTTTCCGTCACAAACCCACTGAGGACATCCATGCACTCGCCATGAAGCCGGGCATCGATGTCCCATTCACTGACAAGCAAAACTACTTCAAAAAACACGGCATTCATGGCACTCACACGATTCATAGTGCCCTTTTGCTTTTGTTGGGCCTGTGCGTCCCGCAACACCCTATCCGTCGCCTGCACAATCTTCCGCAAAACAAGAAGAATATTTTCCCGCAACACGGCATCCGTGGGAACGGGAAATTTACGAAGCAGCCGCAGGGACATTGCCTGCAACCACGGCGCGGGGACCCCATAGTATACATACCCGGGTTCCGTTTGCTTTGACAGTATGATCTTTCCAAGGAGTTCAATGACTCGACCGGGCACGGAGCAGAAGAGATGAAAATTTGCTTCAGTAACGCAACCCGTGAGAAAGCGCACGGCACAACCACTCATGCCAAGCAACGGGCTATGTAGCAGGTCCGTGACTACCGGGACCACTTCGGCGAGGTCCACAACATCAGGATACTTTCTATATATGCGCAGGTACGTCAGCACCGCCTTCTTGCGAATATGCACATTCCAACGATCATTTACGAGAATACCTTTTACACCTGAGGACATCACCTCCGCAAAATCTTTCCCACCGGCATTGGCGATCGCCGTCAGTGCCAAACTCATATTAAACTCTTGCTCTGACAAAAGGTCCTTGTAAATCATGTGTGTAGCCAACGTCAACAGCGAGTGGTTCTCGTGCAGGAAGACGGTGACAGAGAGGTAGCCGATCAGTTTCTCCGCCGGGGACGTTAACGCCAGAAGCTTTACCCCCTCCATATGGCCAAATTCCACAGGGTACCCAAGCATTGTGATGAACATCAACTTACACACGTATTTCTTCCGCGCATATGTGCTCATTGCCGCCGCGTTGCGGAACTTTGAGCGGATCTTGACTAATTCCAGGTCGACGCGCTTCTTTTCCTCGGCCGGGCTACTCGTGGCCTTCCGCACGTCCCGGATAAAGTGAGCCAGACCACGCATGTCCATTTTTCCGCAATCCTTCCTTCCCTAGGCGTACAGCTTGTGCAAACAAATGGCGACTGAAGAAACCATAACAAGCAAACAAAAAAAAAAGGAAAGGAAAGAGCGGAGAAAGATCCGGAACTGCGCAAATGCAGGAAATTTATTATTATTATTATTTTGTCTTGTGCTCTGCATTAAACAATAACCGAGGCGCTTGTTGCGGTGAAATTAATTATCCCCTCAGCACGCTGAAGGAAAGAGGGAGAGAGAGAGAGAGAAAGAGGAAAAAAGAATAGAAGGAATATTGCAGTCACCGTCATTTCGGCTTCCGCTAGCTATGAGTTGAACAGGCGAGCCAGCCCCCCATGCGTGGGGCGTGAAGGTGATGGGGGCACAACGCCTTGGTCTCGTCGCACTCGCTTCTTTACCGGGGTTTCCGGCGCCAAGACCTCTGCGTCGCCGTCGTGCTCCTCCGCGGAGGCGCGGTCGTCCTCGGGAGTCGAGGAGTGAGGCGTGGCCCCGCCGCCGGGGGCATCCACACACTCGTTCCCAGCCCCCGTCCCCTGCCGCATCCCTGGACGCCTTCGCGTCAGCTTGTAGGCGGGAAAGCGGTGGCGGGAATGCACCGCACAAGGCGCCTGCGACTGTTCCACCGACGGCGGAGGATGTTTTCGCGCCACATTGCACTCCCACGAACTAGCCGGGGGCGCACTCGCACCGGGGAAAGAAGAAGAGCAGCACCTTTTGGCGCCGAAACGAGAAACATTTTTGCCGTATCCCGCCGGCTTCTTACCACCGTCGGCTTCCGGCGGCCCTAAGAGGCCGCCGCCGGCATCCCCTGCAGAAGCCACATGCGGGTCGTTGGCTTCGGCGGCACTGTTATTCCCCACCAGGTGCGAGCCCGTCAATTCGGTTTGAAGGCGAACGTGGAAGAGGAAGTCGCACCCAAAGTTCGCCCTAAGGCCACTGAGAACAGACGCCACTTCAGCCGGGACGCACTCCCGAAATTCCCCTGGCGGCGCGCTCTCTACGCCGTACCGACGCAAAAAAACCTCCCACGGGGCCTTCATCAGAACCTCCCGCATGACGATGGGGCTCACCGCGAGCTTCAAGAAGAACCGCGGCAGGAGCACCCCCTCCACCTCCTCACCGTCCTCCTCCAGCAATTTAATCCTGCGCGGCCGGGGCGTCTCGGACGGTGCAAGCATGCCCCAGAACAAAATTCGCGTTAAACGTGCGATAATCTCAACAATCACCACCCCCATGGACAGACGTGCCAGGTCCAACGGTTTCCTCTTCCCCAGTTGCCCACCCACTTTCTCCAGCGCCGACTCACACGCTAAAAGCAACTCGCGAGGGGACGGCTCCTCCGTGACCTTTTGCTGCTTCTCAAACACAAACGCGTGAATTCCCTTCAGTGCTGCCCAAATAACCTCAGGTCCAGAAGTTTTTTGCTGTGAAACAACACAGAAGCACTCTGGAAGCTCTTCTTGCATGCCTAGAAGAAACCACCAAAAGAAATATTACCCATCCTAATGGCAACACACACACACAAAAAAAAAAAAGATACACAAATAAAAGAGCAAATAGGGTCACATGACG